TATTACGGATCTACCACCATCGAATTCATTTGACAACATTTTTGTTGTCGTAGATCGGCTTACAAAGATGGCACATTTTGTCGCTTGCAAGAAGACATCGTCAAGCGAAGACACAGCAAGACTCTTTCTTGATAATGTGTATCGATATCATGGTCTACCAGATGATATCGTATCGGATCGAGGAACCCACTTTGTGTCAAAGTTTTGGAAATCTCTTTTTGAGATATTGAAGGTGGATATCCAGCTTTCTTCAGCATTTTATTCTCAAACGGACGGCCAAATAGAACGAGTGAATCAAGTTTTAGAGCAATATTTACGTTGCACCATCAACTATCAACAAGATGATTGGGCCGCATATCTACCGCTAGCCGAGTTTGCATATAACAACACCCTTCATGCGTCAACTCAACAAACGCCATTCTTTTCTAATTATGGATACCATCCGAAGCTTGACTTATGGAGTTCGTCAACGATTAACAATCCGGCAGCTGAAGGATTGGTGAAGGAGCTTTCGCAACTTCAAACTATATTGAAGCTTCAATTGCAAACTGCCCAAGAATCTTACAAGGCATCCGCGGACAAATTTCGGAATCAGGCACCTAAATTCACGATTGGAGACAAAGTTTGGCTGCTTCGACGAAATATTAAGACCAAGCGGCCATGTGACAAATTAGACTATCGGAGATTGGGACCATTTGTTATCCAGAAGCAGATCAATCCTGTAGCGTATCGTTTGGAATTACCAGCTACTATGAAGGTACATCCTGTCTTTCATGTTTCTTTGTTGGAGTCTTATCGAGAATCGTCTTTTCCTGGAAGAGTACAATGTCCACCACCTAGCATAGAAATAGAGAACCACTAAGAATACGAGGTGGAAAAGATCCTGGATTCATGGCAAAGACGGGGTAAATCAAAATACTTTGTGCATTGGAGCGGTTACGATATTAATGAACGAACATGGGAGCCGGCCAAAAATCTCGCGAATGCGCCACAAAAGGTACAGGAGTTTCATCGACGATATCCTGAGAAATCCAAGTCGATTCGACGATAGCTTCTTACTGAAGCTTGCTCATCCAAAAAACAGAAAAGAGGAGAGAGCACCACCAAAATCCATAGTTGATGTAGACATTCTCTCGAAGATAACGTAGAACTTTGTTAGTAGCCCAAGTTTGTTCTTATTGTTTTAGCCTTTGAATATGGATAGCCAAGATACTACACTTGTCATGTCATCTCAAGCAACTAGCTCACGAAGACGACCGCGAGATGAAGAACCGCCTGCACCACGACGACGTCGAAGGATTCCGAGCAACAGATCGCTGGTGATTGTATTTGAGGTCGAGCCTGCCTACAATGGTCAGCCAGAAGGAGTGTTTGTAGGACAATTTCACAATGAAGACACGGAGGTTCATGCTTGGTCAGAAGTTGAAGGCGTGGACTACTACCGTTGGCTTCAAGGACCATTGAATCACTTGCCTCATGAACAACAATTGGAGTTCATAGCAGAGGTTATGCGACAGATCTTCATTTTCTTGCGTTGGTATTGACTGACGATAACATTGCTTCTCGGAGACCTTGAAGCTAAAGGAGGAGGTGATGTTAGGGACATAGTCCTTAGACCTTTCTAGAGACAAGTTTCTAGAATCTTCTAGAAAGAAGTCTCTAGAAACTTCCAGAAGATTCCTTGAATATTCTCTTAGAATATTCTTCAAAGATTCCCTAAAGATTCTTTGAAGATTCTCTAAAGGTTCCCTTAGAAGGCTCTAGAAGATTCTTAGAATATTCTAATAGATTCTAGGAAGTTACTTGAGAAGCTTCCTAGCTCTTGGGTAGTTGCTCGAGAAGCTTCATAGTTCTTGGGAAGCTTCTTGATGCGCTTCCTTAGAACCATAGGCCAGTAGTATATATAGGAGTCGAGGCTGAAGAGTTCTTTAGTCTCGACAACACATCTCTTGGAGTTCTAGCTCACCTTTCTAGTGTTGTTCTTATACTCATCTGTTTAATCTAGTTCTGCCACTTCTTCTTGAACTTCTTGTTAGATTTCAAGTCTATATTTTGTGTCCGTGACACCAACAATCTTTGTAATTAAACTTGTTCAATCGTCAAACATTTTACTAATAGATTTATTGAACTTAAGTTTTTAACAAGAAATGTTTTAGATATTTTTCATCTATTTTTAATATCACATTGGCTATTATTAAATCATTTTTTTTTTGTTCTAGGTTAGAAACAATTCTTGTTGTATGTTCCTTGAGTAATGACAATAATCAAATTTTAAGAATAGATAGTAAAAAAATATTAGAATAAATTTAATAAAGAATGTCTTCTCTCCTAATTAATATAATGGTACATTGTCTTACACAATGATGCCAAAAAACTTTAAAGTTTTGTTAGAGGGCAATATAAAACAAGATGCTACATTAATGCACAATGTTGTTTACAACAAAGTATTTTAGTAGCTAGAAGGTCGCTAGAATTCTTTCTTAGATGACCTTTGGACTTTCTTCTTGGTTTTAATGACTCAATTCTTAAAATATTTTATAATTAGCTAAGTTCAATTACAAATATCAGAAGACTTTTATTGCTAATTAAGTTGAAATTTATATACAAAAGATGGCTAAAGTTTGTCCTTTGTTCATACAATGAGTGTATTAGTATATTGTAAGATTTAGAGATAGAGATAATTCATATTTTGTGTATATGTTTTGAAATAAATCTAATTTTAATGATAAACATACATATGCTATTACACAAGCAGTAGCATTTACATGTTTGGCAACCAATTCCTTACCAGGTATTTTATTTATTTATTTATTGTAATAAGTGAATTGTTAATTAACATTTCATATTTCATGAATGATTTGAATAATGTATTGTAGTATACATTTGGTTTTAGTAGTTTCAGAATATTCATGCAGTCATTTTTTACAATAAATTAAAATAATGATAATAATATGAGTTATGCCAAAATAATCAAAAAATAAAATACATGGAGTTTTATTAAAACAAGTATTAAAAATAGAAAAATCAAATTCAAAATATCAGTATTTCAAAGCAATGTATCAATTATTTTTTTAAAATGTGATTTTCTCATATGCTTTCATTACTAATTTTGAAGTTGAAATTTAGAAGCCACTATTAGTGTATCATAATCAAAGGACAATTTAATAGTATCACTGACACCTGAAGAAGAAAAATTAGCCATGTACTATCATTGTTTCAGAAGACATTTGAAATGCCAAATATTGGTTGATTTGGATTTGTGTAATATAGTGATTGTCAATAGTGTTAATAACAGTTAATTAAAGGTTCAGTAGTGATATTGTGATATATGCATATATTAATAGAATAATATTTTCATGTGATAAACTATAATTGTAATTATTTTGTGTGTATGTATGTATGTATGTATATATATATATATATATATATATATATTATTTTTCTTTTGTTGTGTTTTGGATAGATGTTATAACATTAAAATTTTGGGGACTATTTAGTTTATGTTTAGTACTGGCCAGATTATATGTACCATCGTTAATTAATACTTTGTACAAAATTCAAAGATAAACATTATTTGACATTCCAAATAGCTTCTAAAACAATATAGTGAATTTTTTGTTTCTATGTGTAAGTAACATAATTAAACTGTCCCTTTGATTTTGATATACTACTGGTGACTTTTAAAAAAAACGTCAAATTCATGAATGTAAAAACATATGAAAGTATCATCTTTATAATTTATTTATAAGGTGAATCTTTTATTAATTTAAGACGAAACTTACAACTTATTTAATGTTTTACTAATTTCCAACATGTGACACAGTTAAAAGATTCAATTTTCAACAAAAAAAAAAAAAGAAAGAATTTTGTGAAATTTTGTAAGGTTAGGATTATCAAAATTTACTTCGGCTAGCTGGAAATTTATTTTATATGGAAAAATCACACCATTAAAATTAAAAATTAACATTATCATGCTTATTAAATTATATCGATATATATATAAATTTTTTGTTTGTATACACACACAATCTAAAAAAAATCAAACACATTTAAAGTCAATCTAGTTTATGATACTTAACAAGTAATTTAATTGGTACATGTGTCAATGTTAAGAAGTAACATGAATAGATAAACTAAATAATGATATTATGTTGTAGGATGTTTTATTTATTTTTGAAACGTTTTGAAGACTTGTTAGTGAAGTCATTATTTGGTTTTTGGGGTTTACTAGTGAATGTAACATAACAAATGACAAAGAGTATTGTCAAGGGAGAAGGGGGAAACAAATGGGAAGGAAGCAAAATGGGGTCTTGGGGGGGGGGGGGGTTTGAAGTGAGCATCACAATACCCGGAAGGAAAACAAAGGTCCCCACTTAAAGAAACACTGGAATCAAGTTGAATCATCCCCATCAAAAAAGTAGTAAAGGAAAAAGCACGAAGGTGGGAGGGGGATGGGTTTGAATTGAGAAGGACTTGTACAGCTATTCCTATCATGGGAATGTCAAAGAGTAAGGGTTTCACATCAGAGACACTGATTTGTTGAGAATTAAAAACGAAAGAAAGGAATGTGGCCTTGTCACGGCAGGAGAGGGATAGCGAGAGAGAGAGAGAGAGAAGGGTCCTTTTCTTTTTGCTTATGTTCCTTTTTTCCTTCATTCAAGTCATTCATTCATTCCCTCCCTCCGTGAGAGAGTGTGTGTGTGTGTGTGTGTGTTCAATGACTGAGTGACTGACTGGTTCACTGGTTCTGATGCCCAGCTCCAGAATCGGAGGAGGGGGGGAGGCACCCACCTGGTCCCCCCCCTGAGGATGGTGCAGACAATGCTATGCCATGCCACCCAGTCAGTCTGCACCTCTCTTCACCTTACTCACTCACACACTCTCTCTCTCTCTCTCTCTCTCTCTCTCTCTCTCAGAGAGCCAGCGAGCGGCCAGGGGGGGGAGGGAGGGACCGCGCGGGTCGGGTCGGGTAGGGTTGAGCTGGGGGGCCTGGGTTTGAGGGGGTTTGGGGGGAGGGTTTATGATGGCTCTGCCGCAGCCAGAGCTGGTGTTGATGTTGTTGTCGTCTTTGTTGTAGAATGGAGTGCGCGTACCGACCACGGTGGCTGTGCGTTCCGCCATTGTTGCACCTTTTCATGGATCGTCCTGTAGAGCCCATCATCTGCGAAAAGGGGCGGAGGTGAATGCTGGCTTGTCGGATTGCTCCCTCCCTCCCCCCGCATCTCCCTTTGTCATGTTTGCCTGAGTTTTTTGCACTCCTACCTGACGGGGAATGTTGCGAAGCCATGGGCTTGCGACTTTTCGGTTTGAGGTCTGGGAAGTGTGCGAGCTGAGTGTTGGAGTTATCATTGGGTTTCTTCAGCTGCGCTCATTGTGCACAATTTTCTGGGTTACTTGCGACCTGGGAGATTGTGGGGTTTTTGGATGCCTTGGGATTCGAGGGCCCGATTAGGCAGAGTGGCGGGCTGGAAGTCTTCACCCCTGGTCTTCGTGTTTTCATTAGGTTTTGGATTGTGCGGCTTCCGTATGCCGTGCTTTTGTAGGGGCTTCCTTAGTTTTGTGATTCTTGCCTCTGTTATTGGGTTCTCTGGCACGCAATTTCGTAAGCAGTGGAGTGCCATCAGCGGCATCTTTCTCATTCTGAGTTATTGATAGCATGTGCTGTGATCGCTCTCATCTTCGAAGCTCCCCTTCTGATATAGAATTTACTGGTCGATGCCGTGCGTTGCAAGTCTTGTCAGCGTTTCGTGTTCTCCGTGCTCTGGGGTTTGCATTCAACGGGGCTACCCGATCTTTGAGGAAGGGGATCCTGAACACGACAGTGGCCGAAAGTATGTTCCGACACTACTCATAGCTCTAGCGTGTCAACATGCACTTAGCTATCTATTATTGAGCTGTCATTCAGACCAAAATTTTCTTGTTAATTTTCTGTCGCTATCAGCTCCGCTCACACTTCACTTTGAGTAAATTGGGGAAAATAAAAAAAGAAAAAATAGGAAAAAAAGGAGAAGGAAATAGTCGAAGAAAACCAATAAAAAATCGAGCTTTTCTCAGTAAAGGACTTTATAATTCCTCGATCATTTACGTTAAGGAGAGGCCCCCTCAGACATTGCCCACTTCTTCACAGATCAGGAGACGACAAGCAAAGGGAGATCTTCGGTTTTGAATTTTACATTGAACCTTTTTGTGAAGTCGAGAATATTCACTGAAAGATGGACAGGTATGTTTCCCAATCTTGTTCACGACACTCGTAGGGTTTATTGCATCACAAGTCTCAGACATTTTGCACGATAGACATATGTGGTTTGACGTAAGCCTTTACCACATGTCATGCATGTCATTCTGTTCTCCTCATTTTGAAGCAATTCTCACAAACGAATTGGAGAAACTTGAATATGATACTTCAATCCGCTGCTGATATCCACTTTCTCTTGAGAAGATTATCTTAGTGATGCGTTTCCTCGTTTAAAGAAGTTTGAGGAAGCTATGCAAGGTCTACAAAAGCTTATGTCATGCCTTATCCTGTGATTTTGTATTACGTGTGTCTGCAATTGCTTTGCCCTCACTTGTCCTGAACCTGCTTATTGAACAGGGTGGCAAGCAACAGGATACTTGGTGCCTCTAAGTTGCGCTGCGATAATAATGCGGCCGCTCATGTACGCACTCTATGACGCACATGCCATCCGACAAGCTTTGATGACATGTTTTCGAAAACTCTTGGATTATGTGTCAGTATTTGTGAAACATGTGAATCGAAGCCAGTTCCTTTCAGTTTCAATTCTGTCTTTTAGCAGTAGGACATACATGACGTAGATGACATCGTTCTCTTTTGTAAGGAATACTTAAAAATCAAAGATTCAATCAAGATGGCCGGACAACCATTCTTTGTACATTTGTGTAATGTTCTAAGGTGCGGTATGTTCACAGCAGGTGAAATTGGACAGTTTTCCAGCGGGAGTGAGGTTTGATCCTAGTGATGAAGAGCTCCTGGAACATTTAGCAGCCAAAATTGGTCGTAGCTCGAGAAAACCACATCCTTTTCTTGACGAATTTATACATACGCTGGTGGAGGAGGATGGAATCTGTCGGACCCATCCTGAAAATTTACCAGGTGTGAGTTTGCTTCGAGAATGTTTCTCCCTCTTCAATCGTGGGCAACACCTAAGCTGCTCTCGATCTTATGTTTATTCTAGTCTTGTTTTGGAACTTCAACCACTAATTGTCGGGCTTTGAGTTTTTAAGAATTCCGTAGCGGATGCTTAAGTGTTTTGTTACCCCTGTGCAATCAGGGGTGAAGAAGGATGGGAGCAGTTGTCATTACTTTCATCGACCTTCTATGGCATACACTACTGGTACACGCAAGAGACGAAAAATTCAGACCGACGATGTTCCAGACGGTGGTACTGACGTCCGTTGGCACAAAACAGGAAAAACTCGACCGGTGTCCCAGGTTTACTTCTCCTCATTCTATTGTCATTCCGAAAATATTGAGATTCAGAAGTCAGTATGTTAGTGGCTGCCATTACCAGACATATTTGGTTATTGAGGTAATGTGTCAACAAATTATCGAAGATTATCATCATTTGATTTTTTATTTTTTTATTTATTTTTAACGATGTCTGTTCCTCCCACAGTGTGGAAAAATTTTAGGGCACAAGAAAATCATGGTCTTGTACAGAGCCATGGGTAAGAAATCAAAGAACTTGAAGACCAACTGGGTCATGCATCAGTACCACTTGGGTTCTAATGAGGAGGAGACAGATGGAGAGCTTGTTGTGTGCAAAGTTTTCTTTCAGAAAGCTCCTCGGAGCTGTCCTAGTCGCAAAATGGAGGTTTTAGCCGTGGATGATGAAGACTGCGAGCCGTCAGAAAGTGACATAGGATTTCAGGCGCCCGGATTGAGCGGCTATTCACCATCTGTCTCAGTTGTGACAAGAGGATTACCTCCGTTATCCCCTTTATCATGCAAACCATCACGCACTGCAAAGCAACTCTATGCTGAGCCAACAGAGTCTAATTCAGAGATCTTTGATCCTCAGCTTCTTGCGACTCAGTCCAAGCAGAAGGCTGTGTTCGTCAGTTTTCAAACATACCCTTCTTTTCTTTTCATGTCTGGAGTCCATTATCAAGATTGAATTTCACATTTTCCTGTTTCGATGTGCTGTTTCTTGTGTGTTCTAAATTGCGAAATTGAAGAATTGATGCATCGAAGTATGACTTGAACTCATTGACATGCTCAGGCGAGAAGTCGTATAAATCAATACAATGACGAGGGTATTGGTGAAGACATAGGTGTGGACATGAATCATAAAGCCACTGCTTGTGTTGTGTACAAACCTGGAGGATCACTTGTACAAACAATGAGAGCTGCCGTTTATGCAGACAATCAAGACACACACATCAACGGAGGACTATCTGGGCATCTGTCCCGTGAAGGAGAAGACGAGTCCTTTCAAGCGGTGAACCTGGATGAAGAAGGATCTTGGGGGCTTGATCAGGTTATGGAAGCAGAGCACATCGAGCAGGATCCTTCTATCATGGGACTTCTATGTGACGAACATCTCGACGGTGACCCCTTGGCAGAGGTTTGTAGTGACCTCTTCGAATTTCAACCCTTTCTGTGATACTCTGGCTGCTGATTTGAGATTTTTAATGTCCTCTTACATTCATGTTTTCGTGGAAATATGCAGGATGCAAATTACGAAGATTTCAACTTCCGAAGCCTTTCGTACGATGTTGGTTGCAGCGTGGAGGAAGAGCTCTTCAGAGTTCTCACAGGGGTTGAGCGAAGTGTCGTTGATCCTGCATTAGATGCTCTCGAGCTGGACACTCCTCCAGACATGTTAGAGGTCAGTGTTTTGCCTCTACGGTACCAACCTTCGGCTATGTTAAAGGCTGGGCACCCAATTATTCTTTTAGTCGGTCTGTTAATTAATTTATTTTTAAATATAGTGTTTGTTTGCTTGCTTGTTTTAGTTGAATAAACATTATCGCGTCGTAAGCTTTGACTGTCGACTTACACTGTCTGAGGTGTTGGCTTCGATGCAGTACCCTGTTGTGACCTCACAGGAAGTGAAGGATTGGCTTGGAAAACATCCCATCCTTGGTCTTGATAATACTGACAGCCAATCGACCACCTAAACAATTGGGGGTCGTTGCCAACTTTACACTGTACTGCAGCATCTATTGGATGAAGTTAGGTCCGTGTTGGAATGCCTTTCCGGATTCGAGTTTCTTCGACACCATGTCAGGCTTGCAGAACTGAGGAGTTCGTGCGCGTTCTTTTGGTTGGATTTCACCACAAAATCTCGTTGAAGTGAAAAATATAGTGAAAAAAGTGACTTAAAGTTTACTGATTTTTTTGCATTTTCATTTCATCTCTCAACGTAGATATGTATAAGAAACATCGGTAATAGTTGTAATATTTATTGCAGAAGAGGAGTTTGCATGTAGTTGAATTGGTTTTTGCCACGTGGAACTTCTGAGTGTGGTTAAGGCGGTTATTGTAAGTCGTAGGGAAGTAGTGCAGGTCGAGTAACATATTGCTTTGAATTTCATTCAAAAAAGCAGAAGTCCACTAACATGGATGTATCAACCTTGGAGATTATTGAGGAGTATTTGTATATAAGAATTTGAATTTTTAAGTTGAACCTTTCGTCGCAGCAATAAGGAGATAAGGTATGGACATGCATAAAGATGTAATCGATTTCTATGTAATTCAATATCTCTACGAACAACTCTGTACATTTTTTGCAAGTTTTTCTGATGTGTGGGGTCTAGGGTTCAAGAAGCATCCAAGTGTGCCTTTGGTTACAAAAAGGTGAAGTCATCATTTATCTTAATGTAATTGGTACTAATTGATCAAAGTTTTAGGTTCTAAGTTCATACAAATGTTCGAGGTTTTAGCTCTAATTTTGGTTACATGTTTATTCTTAGACATTTTTTCATATTATCATGCTAGTTTTGAAGTTGAAATGTTGGATTTATGTTGATTAAATATATAAATATGTATTCATATTTTATTATAGCTTTGCAATAACCTAATAGACTTAATAATTTATCTTCAATTTAACTTTTGGATATTGCTAAGTTTTCACACATCATGTACATCATGCTTCCATTTCTTGAACTAATTTAAACTTGGCTAAATTGTTGTGGACATGAACTAAAGAAATTATTTATATTTTGAATAACAAATTTATTTTAGATTCTCTTTTGTTCAGAAATCTCATAGAAGAATAATACTTGTAAAGTTTGAATAACATTAATAATATTAATTAGTAGATTAATAAGTTATTAATCATATAAATTTAATAATACCTTTGTATAATAGACTTTTTGCTCTATACCTTTGGATCTTCTAGGATAGATGCTCCTTGTAATATTACATGCTATATTCCTACAATTACTAGTGTGATACATCTCAACCCAAAACTCTTCTTCAACCACTTTATTTATGAAAACTTAATATCATTGCAGTGAATAATAATAATTATAGTTGGTTAATTCTTTTGGGCATGTTCTACTAGAATAACATTAAACATTAATATCTTATCCATCTATTTGTTTGGAAATAACTCCAATTTGCTTGATTCTATGGTATTTGGAGCTTGAATACTTACATTTGAGGAAGAGATAAAACTAAGGTCTATTCTTAAGGGGTGTGTTATAATGGCTTGTTAAGAACAAGAAAAACAATAACACTCATATTCCCACTACAACACTAAATGACTTCTTGAAAGCTTAAGAGGGAGAAAGTAGAAATATGAAACAAAATAGAGATGAAAGAAAAAAATAATAACAATAAGAATTCAACATTAAAAGAAGCTCAAGAGCCTTATACAATATGTCTTATGTACTACTACTACTACTCTACAAGCTTTAAAAAACATAATGAAGAAAATATGATGGATGAATGAGATATAAGAAAATAACACCATTTGGAAGAGATTCCTTTTTTTATAGGATTGATTGTACATAAGTAGAAGAGAATAGAGAAGTAGAAAGAAAGAAAGAGTTAGTTATTCCTACTTACTCACTGCATTTAGTATTCTAACTTGCTTGCATGCCTATCCACATACATGCAATCTCTACACTTTGGAAGTCAAGGCAAATTCTATCCAAAATCTTGTCTTTCTTTCAAAGAAATAATGTCTATTTCTACATGGATTCTTTTCCTCTACTTTCTATTATTCCATCTATTTTTAACTTTTGGTTTTTTCAAGTCACTTCTTTTTACACTTTTTATCTTGATTCTTGACAATATTTTTCATCTTTATCATTTAGATTCAAAATTTAGGATTTTATGTATATACATTTTAAAATAAAATTTATACATTCAATTCTTATGGCAATAAGTTTAATACATACACATATATGGGATGCATCTTCATAAACTTTGGTAGGTATAATTAATAAGCAACGAAATTGATCTACTCATTAATAAGAAATTGTCCAAATTTAGAGTAATCCAACTTATCATAAGTGAAATTATTCTTGATATTACAACAAAGTAACTATATCTTATTGTCAACATGGAATTTAGGTTTTTATTTTAATAAAAATCTATATTTTTATTTATTCTATATATATATATATATATATATATATATTCTTGAATTTCTTTTAATTATATCTTCATTGTTGTATGTAGTTATGATAAAAAAAAATTACCAAATCTTTCTCTATAAGATTATCAATTTTTTAAAAATCAAAATTATTAAGTTGTAGATGATAATTATAATTAGCAAAGAAAGATATTTGTTAAAAAGAAGAATGTATCAAATTATTATAAGAAAAATTTGTCAATGGCAAAATAGTTGTTCAATCATCTTAATGGTAGTTCACCATACATTTCAAATACTACTTTAAAACTTGATTCATTTGTTCTATTTTTACATCAATTTAAAGATAAAAAACTAAAGATAATTTTATATCTGCCTTCAAAATCTTAAAAAGGGTTTTTTAAAACCTTAATGAAAACTAGGTCTCTTTATCCAATATAATATCTCTTGACAATCTGTAATAGTGATAAATATTGTTAAAGAGAAATTTAGTTGTTTTTTTTTATATGTCGTAGTTTTTCTACATAATACAAAATGTGCTAACTTAAGGAACCAATTTACTTTCATAAATATAAAGTCATAAAAATTTAAAGTTCAAAGATCTCTTATAAAATCCATAGAAAAAAAAGACTATGATTGTTTTGATATTAGTAATGGTTGAAAAAATCTGTAACATTGATGTTAAGGAGGTTTTTATCTTAAAAAAATATCACATGATTGTACAAAGCATTTGATTACCTTTTATATTTGATGTCACTAAAAATCTTATGTTATTAACTCTAAGATCTTATTATATGCAAAATATCTTGCAATTAAAAAGTCATGACAAGCTTAAAGAGCATATAGTTGTGTTCTACCTTCTAGAACATAGAAGCTTCCTTCAAAATAAAATGGATTGTTTTCAAATTCAAATTTAAAAGTATTATGAGCTATAAAAATATTATTCTTGATATCATGAATAAAAAAATTTGAAGACATACTTGATTGAACTTCCTTAAAAAACATTGAATCAATAATCAATATTAATTTTATTGCCTAAATATTAGATGTTTCTTATTAAATTTAAAATCTTTTAATCCATGATAGTTTAAACTTTCTTCGCTTGATTCAATTGATGAAAAAGTTGTATATCAAAGACAATAGACATATATACTTGATAGTAATCTTTTTGAATCTTTAATAATCAATGTGCATTTGCACTCATCCATATTTTGTTTTGTCTTAAATAAAATAGAAGCTCTTGTTAGAAATTTGGAATTACATATAAAATTCTTGGCCAAGTTCTCATAAATGTATTATTTGAATACAATTTTTTTTTTTTTTTTTTTTTTTTTTTTTTTGTGATAAGCTATAGATTGGTCCAAATGACAAATTTGTTCTTAAAAGATAAATTGAACAATCATAAGAACAATGTTCTAAAAAATTAATGACATTCTTCATCTAAAAATTGTCTTGATAATCTTTGTATTAGCTTGGAATGCCACTTGAAGTCTTTGCATGATTAAAAATGGATGTATCATAAGTAACAAAAGGTGATCATTCTTTTAAAACATACATAAAGATTTTTGTACCTATCAATAAATGTTTGATTGTATTAAACTTATGAATTTTTTATTTAAATAAAAAAAGTATTCAATTTATTATAAATTTTTTAATAGTTATAATAAAATTATTCTATTAATAAAATTTATATTTTTAATCAAAATATACTTAAATTAATTAGATTGGAAGAAGATATAATTACATTAAATATTACTAAGTTATTTTGTCCATTGATTGCTACATCTAAAAGAATAATTTCATCGATAACATCTCTAAAAGACAACAAACAACCATCTATGACTCCAAAATGCATAAGTTTAGTTTTCTTGATGAAAGTTTTTTTTTTTTTTTTTTTTTTTTTTCCCCTTAAATCTTGATTTATAAAATAATATGAGGCTCTTCAATTCAATAAGAAAAAGAATTTATAATTTTTTGGTTCTAAATAGACATCTTTTATAAAGGAAGGTAAAGGATCTTGAAAGAAAATAGGACCTTCATTAGAAGTTGTACAAGATTTGAGCTATATGGTCCTTATAATAGATGGAAAACTTATTTTCTAACACATCATCTTTTTTGGCAACCATGTTCATTATTTTTTGATTGTGTTGCTTCTTTAGATAATATTGAGCAATATGTTTAGATTCTCTATAATATAAGAATAACCTTTCTTAACAATATTAAATTTTTTCTTACTTAGTGAGAAATTTAAAATGTACCATATCAATTTTTTTAGGTTTTGGCCTTGAAAAATATTTTTTTGAAAACTTAAAACTTGTTGTCATAAATGGATTTATATTTTTTCAACCAAATCTATGTTATTGATGTCCTTTAAAAATTTGATTGTTGCATACAATGGCTTAAGCAATAAATTATTCCAATGGATTTTCTTTTATTATTTTCAACAATAAAATCTTAACATCATTTTTTAATCCATATCAAAAAAGATTGATAATAATTTTGTCATTCTAATCCACATTGCAAGCAAGATTTTGGAATTCAATAGCATATATGGTGATTAAATATGATCATTGTTTTAAAGATTTGATTTTAGTCTCTATTATTGTTTTTCAATGACTTTCTCTAAAATGTAGCTACAAACACTTTTCAGAATAAATTTAAATTATAGATGAATTGTGAATCTTTTTTCATCAAAAGTGCAAACTAAAAAAGAACGCTTCCAAATAAAAGTGCTTCTATATATCTAACTTGAGTAAATTCATCAATGTATTGGAAAAGATGCAATCTTTGGTACAACTTGATTTATTGATGAAGTTCTCTAAATTTTATTCTTGTTCCATCAATCTTCTATGACATACTAATCTTTGTCTCCCTAATACTAATAGTAGCAAGTCTTCTCTATTTTAATTATAATATTCATCTACTTGCTTCTATCAATTGCAAAATTTCTTAGTGGAAACTTTGAACTTCATTATTGACTTCTTTGATGTGCATAGGAATAATACTTCCATAATTGATGTTGATAATGTATGAGATTTCTACCCTAAGAGACTCTTGAAACAAGAGTAAGAATAAAAAAGATGCCAATAAGCATAAAGAAGACTAAAAATACAGTCAAAGAAGTAGAGATGAGGAGACGGGTATTTAGAGCATGGATGGAAGTTGGAAACATGGAAATAAAGAGTGTAATAATGGTTTTGATAGATAAGTTGTTTAAATAAAAGATAGGATCAATTTAACATTCTCTTGTATAATAAAGTGAGTCATTTTAATGAATAGATGGATCATTTTAATATATATATATATATATAATTATATTCTTTAATTCTTTCTCAATATATATAATAATTTTGAATATTATGTCTCTTAAAAGTGAAATTCAAATCAAATTTTAATAAGTTGTTCTGAAATTGTTTCAAATTACTATGCTTATGTTTAATACATTGGATTAAAAAATAAATAAATATAGATATAAATGAAAGTGTGTTAATTTTATTGCCGTTTAGTATTATATTTTGGCCAGTTTTCACGGTGAACTTTCAACCATTATACTTCTTAGATATCTACAATACAAAGAATTTACAACGTTGAATTTGGTTTCAGGCTTTAGTACACTCTATTTAGTTAGTTGTGCTCTAATGTTACTGACATCAGTTGTCTCATCATCAAATGAAATGCTCGTTGAGGGAAAAAACACCATTGTTTTGTGTATGGAATCTAAATATTAATTATTTTGTAAAATTCGTTAAGCCATTAATCTTCTGTTAATCAAAACTTAATCAAATTTAGTAGTTAAGTAACTTTCATGTAAAGCTGAAGAGGAACAAAGCTGTTTACAATTTAGCATAGACTGTGCATAATTGCACATGTTTCTGGGTAGCAGTGTGGTGCTTGGAAGTATGGGGTTGGCACAAATAATAGCAAACAGATAAGTTAATGGATGAGTGGATGGATGGATGGCTGGACAGAGAAAGATGAGTGGTTTTCCACCAGGGTCCTTGCCAAGACTGACTGGGTGCAAACCCTAATCCCTAAAGCCTGGTCCAGCTGCCGTATCCAGAGGAGGAGCAAGAGATTCACATCTAGAGATACACATATTATATTAGATGATGGTTGTGTAGTGTAGTGAGAAACATAAAACAAATGATAGAGATCCCCCTTCTACTCCGACTCCTCCTGTTTTGCTGCAATGCTGATTCATGCCGATTCTGTGTGTGCCACTCACACTTGGGGCATCCAACACCGCAGCAGCAGGCTCAGTGGGTGCGGGGCCAGGCATACCTATATCCGTTCAGTGATCAATGCTGTGAGGGCGGGTACATGCAGGTTCGGGTCTCAAAGGGCCAGACAGGGATGGGGGGAGTGTGTTTGTGTGTGCGTGTGAGTGTGTCGTGGTGCTGAATCTTCATGTGGAACCTCCCTCCCTCTGCTCCGGATTCCTCCGTCCCTCCCCTGCCTCCCTGCCAGCCTCGTGAGTTTTCCTTTCTCTCCTCTCTCTCTTTCCTGGTATCCTTTGCACTTTCGGGTCCATTTCCACCACAGCTTCCTTAGCCGTTTGGATGAATGCTCGATCGGGGTGTTGTGGGATCTTGCGCTGAATCATTTCTTCCTCTCATGTTTTGCTGTACTGACAAATTGGAACAATTTACCCATTGGGTTTTTTGGGTTGTAATGTGTTTTCATATTCAATTGATGAATTGGTGATGAGTAGGCAGCTGGAGGTTGATCAATGGTTGTCAGATTGTGAGTCGTTTTCGAATTTGTGGTTTTGTAGCTGGATTTGGTTGTCGCTCTCGTGAAGACGGCGAATATACTCGCCTGTGCCCAGCGTGCTAGTCCTTTGATCTGTTATGTGTATTTTAATGTTGTCAATTTGGTCGAGTATTGTTTTGGTGGCAGTGAACTTTGAGTGTGTCGTGGTTAAGGATATTCGTCGTTTGACATATGGTTAGCCAGAAGGATTACAGGCGCGTTTTTGTTTTTGTTAATAATGTTTTTTGAAGTTATTAACTCACCTGGCAATTCCAGACTGAATCTCACGTTTGTGTGAAACGTGTTGTACATTTGTAGGTTGAGGTAGTCACGATCCTTAGGAAATACTGTTTGTGTTGCTGTTTTGGTTCCATTTGCTTAGGGTTACGCTTGCCAAATATGCAGAAGAGATGAGGCTAAGCTGTGGTATCTGCATTGACATCTACGCTACATCTATGCCACCTACAACTGCAATTTGTAATTTGGTGTTGGATTGACAAGGTTCTGTGGGACGTTTCCAGGTTGAAAACTAGTATTAGTACAGTTTCGTATTGTGGTATCGTGGACCGTTTTGGATATTCATGTGCTTGAGTTGCATTAAGATTTTTCGATTGTCCCATTGCGGATTGCGAGGGTCTCTCGCATGCCAATTTATACCTTCGACTTGAGTTTATCATGAATCCACTATTCTGACGTGTAGGTGGCCTTACGCCAAATTCGTTTTGAGAGATATTCCTCTTCACTGGAATGTCTAAGGAACTTTGTGTCGGAGACCGGGTGAAGGGAAAAATATTAGTGATTCACTGCAAGGAAGAGCATGGCGGCCCCATCATCTCGACTTTCACTGTCGAGTGTGAAGACCTCTGGTTCGGAGGCGTATTACAAAAGCAACCTCGATCTGGTTTTGAAGGAGAACAAGCAGCTTCGGCAACGCCTTGACCAGCTTGAAAAGGAGAATCGTGGTCTCAAGAAAGCTGTGTATGATCTTAGTGTCAGGTGCGCATCGAGACCGTTGTTTGAATGGCACTGTTTGCGCGGCACTATAAAGCTTCTGTACATTTAGTATCTGTTGAACGTCATCTTCACTTATACAAGTTAATTGTAGATTAAACACGTTTCAATATTTAGATTGAATAGTTATGTGTATGCTACTTTCCACTGCTTTGAACAAAGTGCTGTGCAATGTTATGCGTCTTGGACTCAACCGCGTGGTGGTTCACATCTCTCAGCGAGTTACAATGTTTTGATATTTTGATGCAGCAGACATAGTGCGTGTATAGAATTGGGCCGCACTGGGAAACCTTTTGATATCAATAGCATTATCACTCCGGAGAGCTCTGGGCCCGAGTCGTTAGAAACTGCTGATTTGCCTGATATCGTCCCTCAAAAAGTGGGAATTCCAAGTATGTTTCCATAACTCATCTTAAAATGTAATGTATTGCATAAACAATAGTGTTGTTGCACGATGCAGAATTTGAGTCACGCTTCTCATCGTAGTCACCAAACGTGCTGGTATCATTCTGTTCTTGATGAGCTGTTTTTCCCAACACACAAACGATGTTGATGAAGGGGTGAGAGTCGCTGTCTCAAATCATTGTTTGAGGCTTATCTCTGTTGTGTCACCTCCAGGTGTTGCTGTACCTAAAAGTAAACGGCAAGCAGGTGGTCGACAATTTTATCTTGCTTGCGATTTAAAGGTGTTTCTTCTAACCTTGTTGATATTCAAGCTGCTTTCAGCTGCTAGATTGAGAGAACGTGGTATAGACATGATTGCTGAAAATAGCTAACTCTCCACTCGAAGACTCTCAGGGACTGTTGCATGAGGGGAATTTCAGGGCTGAACTATTAACATATCGTGTCCTGGACAGGGCCATAAAGGACCAGTTTATGCTGCGCAGTTTGCTAGAGCTAGCAATCTGTTGGCGTCAGGGTCTTTTGACCAAAGCGTTCGAATCTGGGATGTGCAAACGCAGCGTGAAGTCAGTGATTATTTTCACTCAACTATATTTATTTTAACACGCTTCTCATATACACTGAGGAGTTCATGTCCCTTCAGCTTGTTTCTTGTTTTGGGCATATTTATTTGAAGCGTTCTTAACACCTTAAGTAATTATAGTCGAGACCTAAATCATAAAAGCCACGATTGATCCACGAACACTTGAAAGTTCAGATCCTTCAGCATTTTCAGAGGCTTGCTGTGTGAGCTCATTTGCACGGCAAGTTCGTAAGGCATTTTTTAATATGATTTTTGATTTCTAAATCTCACATTGTGGTGTATTACAGGTGCAATGTTTTCAAGAGCATCAACAGAATGTTGCAGATGTTGACTGGTCTAGCGATGGAACTCGACTTCTTTCGGGCGGATTCGATCACTGTGTGAAAGACTGGGATGTTGTTGCAGGGAAAGTCGTGCATTCTTACAGCGAGTTGCAAGGGTTCATTCAGGCTGTCCATTTTAATCCTGCAGGCCTGTAGTTTCCGCACTTTCACCTTCCTATATACGTCTGGTTTAATCACACGGCGTAATATTTTTATCTATATCTAGAGGCACTCACAATTTTCTTGTGCCTGCTGATTTGAGAACTAGGTTGTGACCTGGTCAAACAGATTGCTAGTCTACGCCTGTTAATGTACTTGCTTATTATAAGATGCAGCAGAATTATAATTAACATAGTGTTTTTACTTGCAGATAATGACGTATTTCTCGCTGGAAGTACTTCAAAACATATTTATGTACTGGACCGACGCTTACATAGCTCTGGAGGGTTGGCAATGCTGCTCACTGGAGATGCCAAAGTAGGTGCCCTTGTGGTAAGCCGGAGTGGCAATTCGTGTCTTTCAGGAGATTCACATGGTGCCATGAAGCTGTGGGATCTGAGGACTAAGGCCTGTGTAGAGACCGTGTATAATGAAGACGGTCACAAGCCTATAACATCCCTCTCCACATCTTCTGGGTCTCATGGTAATAACATTTCCTTCCAATACTCTCTTGCAAATATAGCCATTTACCTCGAGTTCGCATCTAAAATTCTAAGTTTATCATGGGTATTCTGGTTGCCAGTGTTTGGCTTTTTGTAAAATTAGAAAGCATTATTAGGAGACATGGGATGGCTTGACTATTCTTCTAATCTCTATGCATGTGGATGCAGTTGGCAACGAAGAGGGCGTCCATCTTGCCGTCAACAGCTATGATAACGGTCTCAATGCTATGTCCACAGCTCTGTTGTTCTTATTGTCTGCATCGTTGCATGCATAATTGTTGACATGCTTTTTACCCACTTTTGCTCTGTAAAACTAAGACTCTAAAGTGGAAGGGATGCTGGTGCATCGTCTACAAGTTATCAGATTCTGGCTATGATAAGTTCTTGTGTTACTATCCTGAACCAAAAGTGATTCATTTGGTTCTTACGCTCGTGGAAAGTGGCAATTTTTACTTAAGCGTCATTGCTTTTGGGGGTTTGCAGTTCTGAGAGTTTATGACAGATATTCTGTCACGGAACAGCCTCCACTAAAGTTGGGAAGCTTGCGGCTGGTACATTCTATAAACGGCACTCGTACCAAGAATTGGCCGATCAAAAGCTCTATGTTTCAAGGACATGATTGTAAGTTATGAGTGAATTTTCCTCTAAATGTAAATGATATTGTTGATTAGGCATAACGTATTTCTAAATTTGAAGCTAATCCTTTGTCATCGGTTTCTGGTGTCAGAACTTTAAGGTAGGAGACTGTTGAGTGCTTCCTGCAAGGCCGTTTGTAGGAAATGCTGTAGTCATATCTCTGCTTTGAAGCGAGTATGCTAGTATTGCTCAATTCGTACTTCTCACCAACCTTTTGTGTTGTTTTTTCAATGCCTCAAGATCAGCAATCTGTTAGAAGACGTCGACACAAGAGTATCGACGGGTTGTCGGCGAATGGAGATTTCAGGCCTCGAAGTCCAGAAGCCTCGTAAGCAACTCTTCATTTCTCGTCAATTGTGCTTTATCTGTGATAATAATTTATGCTAAACCAGTTGAGTAATCTCTTTCTACAACTTGATAATAATATCTTGTTATCCTTGTTTCTGCAGATCGTTTCAAGATGCAAGTGTGCATGATGCGCTGTTGCTTGCAACTGGTAGCGCAGATAATTTTGCATACATCTTCGATGTCAGTGGTCCAAGCGTAAGTGCTTTTTACCATAAACGTCAATCTTTTCCCCTGGTTCTGAATGTTGTGGTGGCGGATTTTACAGGGCTTAGAATATCAATCGTGAAGTGGTTCTCTCTGTTGCATACTTCCAGATTAGTTACATATATGCATGGTGTACTGCGTAGCTCTCAGCTATCGAATGAGTGTACCAGGTGTTTTAACCTTGTTTTCCCACCCAACCAGGCGGAAACCTTTCTTTTTATTAGCTAACAGCAAACTCGAGCACGCACTGTTCTCTAAATTATTACTATTTTGGGTTGATTGTTACTGCAGGGAACTTCTGAGCTTGTGCAACGGTTGGAAGGTCACACTGATCGCGTGTGTGCTGCCGTCTTCCATCCCGTAGATCCAATTCTTACAACTTGTTCCTCGGATTTCACTCTTAAAATTTGGTCTCCACGGCATTTAACGGATATAGGCTAATCCCTTAAATTTAGCTCGAAAGTTCGTAAGTCCATGAGGATCTGGCGATGATTCTACTTATGCATTTAACTCAGAAAGCCATGGAGCCAAAGATCGAGGCAAGGGGCATTTTAATTTAATACGTAGTTTGCACAAATCTGTTCCGTGTCATAATGTGCATTAGTGACTGGTTCGCTTTAATTCCAACGTATTTTATCATTTTCATCTCCCTCAAGTCAATCAACAGTGTAATGCTCAAGAGCATTTCACCACTGGATCTTGTCCAGGGTCATTTTTTGTACTCGAGAACCTGTTAATGATGTGGTGTCTACTGATTACGATCGACGTGGAACCACAGTGAGATGAATAACGCTCTTTTTGTTCGTGAAGCTTAACAGTCCTGTGTCTTTTCGTTTGGTTCTATGGTGGGTTTTACATATATTGTCAAGCATGGGGCAAAAGAAATCTTCAGTGTGACGTGAATATTTTGTTCAAAAATTGGATCGTGTTATGCAGTGGTAACCCAAAAGGACTCATAACAAGTATGTGTTCCTTACGTATTTGAAAATATCGCGGGTTGTCACAGGGAGTTTTCGAAACACTCAATAACAGTATACTTCACCCCACCCAATCAACCTGTGTCATTAGACCACTGTCGTCGAACTTTGATGATATGAAACTTCAAATTTGTTCAATTCGTAGTGCCACTCCAGTACAAAACGAGGTGTAGGCACAAACTTAATTAATAACGTTCTGTGCTGGTGCTTAACCTCACAGTATGCCAATTATGATTTGACGTAACCAGAGCAAAATAATCATCAAACAAACATGTCCAATTCGCTCTGTGCTCTCCGAAGCAGTGCATGATACCATGGAGGCACGCAAGTAGGACCGCACACACATGATAGGTTTGTCAAACGCGGTCTCCGGTGTTTTGATCTTGGTTTTCTGCATTCAAAAATCGACATGAAACGATCTTGTACATCTTACCCGGATTTTGGTCCATCATCCCGGTATTTCGATCAAAAGTCATTGCAACAGAGTGTCAACTATACGGAACAATCATGTGACTAACAACAAAACATTTACAATAAATACAGGAATCAAAATCAGCTTTTAGGAGAGCTCTTTCAAACGACCTCACATTATTCAGTGTTATCCTTACGAGCATTGACAACCGGCAGTAACACAAAGAAAACAAATTTCACCGTCATGCACCTCCTCACACAACACCATATTAGAAACATGGCCACCACAATTTGTATAAAGAGTATTAATTACTTCCAAAGTAAGCTCCTAAACTGAAAATTATCTAATAAAACCTCTTGACCATTTCACACAGACTCGGACTCCGCTGTACCTGTACTGCAATTGCTCGTGGGAAAAAGTGACATGAATTCTCGGCAAAAGTTCACTAGCTGCATGAAGTTCTACTATATGCAATGTTTAACCTGCAGCTGCAACCAAATCCGTGCAAGGTGCGCCTGGCCAAGACTGCAATTACTCCAACTAAAGGCGGACTGCTGCAGTATCTAGGTGTCACATGCTAACACTAGTGTTTGACCACCGACGGAAATGTAACGTTATCACGCGGCTGTTGCCAACTCTGTGCTTCGGTTGAAAGTTAGCAACTTGAATTCTGCCGCCTCGCGTTCAGCGTCTCTCTTCCATTTTAGGCGCAAGAGGTAAAAGCACGCAACAACGAAGATCCAATAGCAGATATCGGCGCACAGCGTCCCCACCGTCGCCTCATCCCGCCAACCAAATACAGCATTCAAGATTTTCCAGATCCCATCCGTTTCTTCATGGCAGCAGTATAATTTCCACACGAACCGCTCATTCTGGGTATACTCTTCCAGTTCATGAACAGACCCGGAAAATAATCCGGACGAGATTATAAGGAGGAGGGCAGTGGAGATCATCAAGAACCACTTGAAGCCTACATTGGTGCATCCTGTATAGAGGAGATAACCAACCAAGACTCCACACGCCGCTCCAACTGTAGCTGCGATGGGTATCGAGGTACCGCTGTCATTCAAACCTGTTCCGCCCAAAAACACTACAGCCTCACATCCCTCTCTTAGCACAACGCTCAAGGGCAGCAAGACGAGCGCGTATTTCCCTCTCTTGCTCTCTATATCACCGGCCTGTTTATCCAATGCGTCCCCTGTCACTTTTGTCAGCTTCTTCTCCCATTTATCCCGCCATGTGTCTATCTCGGATCATGGAGAACGCCATCACGGTGATGAGCACCACTGCCACAAGACCGAGGATTCCTTCCCAAAGTGGCTCAGAAGTCTCCCACGCTTCCTTTGCCACTGTGTAGTAAAACGATAAGAACACTGCCGCTGCACAGATGGAGAGCAGCACTCCAGCCAGCACACCATACCACACATGCTTCTTCATTTTTCGCCGCAAGTTCAAGTCCTCCACAATCCTATCCAACAGCGCCATCATGACAGACAAGATGATTGCCGCTTTGCGTTTCCCGAAACAAGATGAAAAACGCCGGCACGCTGAAATAGTTTGCCATCCTGGAGAGTGTTCAACTTCTTCGGAACCAGAACTGTGAGAGACACCAATTTTGGAGTGCAGCAAGTCCAATTAGGTACTCAGCGTGATCACTGATCTTAAACTACATGAGTATGAGTGAAGCAGCTCCATCTATAGTTTTAGTGAAACTTTTGTGTAATTTGAAGTTTTTATGAAAAAGATATAGGCGCTCAAAGTTAAGATATTGATTTTGTATCTATTATCATTCTTTTAGATATAATGTAAGTGTATAGAATGCAATGAAGGATTGGCAATAAGATTCGAAGAGAGCACTTTTTTTTTCTACAAGTTTCATAGATTTCTTGATGAATTCTAAGTTAAGATAAAGGAGCTATATAAAGTTAAAATCAACCCTTGCAATCTAAGGGCAGTAAGTGACCGAATTTACTAGTGGTTGTGTTTTGAGCCACATCTTAAGAAATTTGACAAGATTTTAGCTAAAAGTTTCTAAGAGTACATGTTATCATGTTAATAAAATTTATATACAATTTTGTAGCATTTGGAGTTTGTATTTCTAAGATACAAAAAAAGTAGTATTTGGGTGCTTGTAAATAAGGATTTAAAGTACCTACTAGGATTTCTAAGATACCAAACAATCTGTAGTAGATTTATAATTTATTTTTTTTGTAGACAAGCTTAAGGATAAATTCTATATTAATTAGAAATTTGAGAAAAACTAAACGGTTGGATCAAAAGATATAAATTTCTAAAATTTGGAGAGAAAAAATCTTTTCTGGGAGAAAAATATTTTAAAAGGATTTTGCTACAATTTGGATATTTTATACAAAATAAAGAGGTTTTTGAGAGCTAATACTTTAAATATATATTAAAGATAGAAATGTAGAATTATAATAAAATTATGATATAAAGAATGATATTTATAAGAGGATTATGAATTTTCTTTAAGCTTGTGAAGAATCAAACTTACCAGCAAAAATTTATTTATGATTTGGTGTAGCAAAGGATATTAGGGCATTTTTAGATGCTTTAAAAAGCCTTATATATAAAGCTTCTTAAGTATAAAAGGATTTTATTAATAAAAAAACTTTAGATACTATTATATCTTTTTGGCCTATATAATAAGAAAACATCACTTATTGAAACTTTTCTAATAAGTTAATGCTAAATTCTCTACTACTAAATACTTAGTATATTCCTAGATAGAAAATCACACTATATGACATTGTATTATTATAGGCAAACTTTGCCAATGGAAAAAGAGTTGTATGATCATCTTATTGATAGTTGATGGTACATCTCAAATATTGCTTCAAAACTTGATTAACACTCTCTGTCTGTCCATCAATTTGAAGATAAAAAGCCAAAGATAATTTTATATCTGTCTTTAAAATCTTAAAAAAGATTCTTTAAAATCTTGATATCAATTAAGTCCACTTATATGATATAATATTCTTAGATAATCTATGATAGTGATAGATGTTTTCAACAAAAAACTTAGCTATTTTTTTTATTTGTGATAGATTTTATACATAGTAAAAAATGTACCATCTTAGTAAAATGATCTAATATTATGAATATAGAATCACATAAACTTGAGACTAAAAGATCTGTAATAAAATCCATAGAAATAGAAAACCATTATTGTTTAGATATGGACAATAATTGAAGAAGTCCACAATGTCAATAATAAAGAATTTTTAATCTTGAACAAATGTCATACAACTAGACAAAGTCTTTCATTGCCTTCAATATTTACAGCCACCAAAAATCTTTAGATATAAGCTCCAAAGTCTTTTTGTATCCAAAATGTTTAGCTATTAAAAAGTCATGATTTTCTTGAAGAATATTTAAACGTGCTTCTTGTTTTGGAATATATAGACATCTTTTAAAATAAAGTAGGTTATTTTTGAACTTGAACTTGAAAGCATCATAAAACTTAGTAGAAAGGTTTTAGATATTATAAACAAGAAGATCAGGGGATATACTTGATTGAATTTGTTTGACAAAGGTTAAATCAACAATTCATGTTAATTTTATTGCTCAAAGATGAAAATGCTTTGGCTTCAAGATAATTATTCTTTCTTGATCAAAATATGCATTTTTTTTTGGAATAAGATAAGAACATCTAAAAACAACATCTAATAAATCTTGTTATTCTTTTGGATTGATAAGTGATCTTGAAATCAAATCTTGACAAAGACATGTTCCAACAAGCTTGGCAATGATTCAAAACACATATTCACATAAAATATTCAAGTTTCTTATGGTCCATTGTTGTGGTATAATATGGCCAAAAAATGAAAGAAAGAAGGAAATATTATATTATAGAAGATCTTATTTTAAAATATTATAGCAAATTATTTTAGAAATATAGATAATAGTCAAAAAGATGGTAGAACTAAAAAGTGTTAATGCTACTTTTTTACAAAATAGACTTCTACTTACTTTGTATAGCCATAAATAAGACAAAATAAAATAGATTAAAAAATCAAATAATATAAGCATGTAATGGAAAAAATTAAGAATAGATTTTAGCAAATTTACTTCAAGAAGCCAAGAATTGATACCAAAAGAGGACCAATTGTCAACTAGGATCAAAATCAGATCCGAAGGCACAAAATTAGGCACCTATGGTGATTTTAGGGTTCTTTGGTAGATTAAATAAAGGAATTTAAGAATAAATTTAAGGAGAGATTTTTAAACATTGGTTTTATATATTTTGGATCAATATTAAGATTTTAAAATATTTTCAAAATTAGTGATGTTTTTGATAGGATTAGGATTTTTTTTAAAAAAATATAATCACAAATTTGATAATTTCTTGAGCTTTTTGATCTATATATATGTAAAATTTGAACAATGTATTTTT